CCGGCAGTCTCTCTGAAGTGTTTTCATGAGCGCATTGTATGTTTCTGTATCAAAATACAACCCTTCGTGCATGTCTTGCAGGAAATCTAAGTCCTTAAACGTGGGGTTGGATTTCTCTCTCTCTTTTCGGGATGCTCTTCGCTTATACGTCGAGCCTTTCAAGTCGTACGTAAAGTGCATTCTCATGGAGCGTGGCAAGATGTTGTTCATCACCACAATCCTGATGTTAATGCCCCCTGACTGAACACAGTACAGTCCGTAAAATTTTGGCAAAAGAGTCCTTGGATTCTGGTTTAAATTCTAAACAGAGAAAAAGTGGGAAAAATGGTTAAAAACTCCTATTTTTACAAAATAAGCTCCACTAAAGAGGCGTTCTCATCTCGCATGATAATTAAACATAGAATGTGATTATCTTTATTAATGGCCATTGCAAAAATTTTGCTCTTTCTGATCTAGTTCTTAAATTGGCTTATTGGAATAGCAACTTTATCATTCTAAACTCAGGGCACTAAAAGTGGCGGAATTGGAAATGGATAGAAGGTCCCAAATTAGCTGCAAGTAAAAACGGGCAAAGAACTGATTAGTGCCTTGTGTGACTATTCCCTAAGGTAGCTAAAGAGAAAATTAATTGCTTGGGTGTAAGGGATGAACATTTTAAATTTTAATAGCTCCTGAAAAAAAACCTGTCTTCCAAAATGGCCAGGCCGATTTGCAAGCACTCTGTTAAGATTACGTATTTCTCATCACTTTTACCAGTGCTGAGGCTCAAACTTTAAAATCTTTGCAAGCAGGATTGGTGAAAAGTGGAGGCTTGTTTTTAATAATTTGAATACCACTGATCATTAGAGAAATTGAATATTTTTTCATGTATTTTTAGCAACCTCGAAGATAATTCTGTGTTAATATCCTATTGCTCATTTTTTTCTATAGGATTTTGTCCTTGTTGGAGTTCTTGACAGTTACCATTTTCCTATATTATATGAAGAAATATTTTCTCCTGGTGTTGTCTTTTTTACTATAAAAACAAAAAAAAATACATGCCTATTTTTGTTTTACTTTAAAAGTAGGTGAGAAAGTAAAGGGCATATCTATGAGAAGTCTCAAACTGTCCCTGATCCATCCTGATTCCCAACTTTTGAGGAAACTAGTTAGTATTCTCACTTTTGTTGTATCATTATAGAAATATTCTATGTGCTCATCTTAATTTTGTGCCTGGTATTTTTTTCGATATACAGATGTATTGTCTTTTGATGTAGTCACATTTATGTACTTGTTTCTTGTGATTTTTCGGCTTCTCGTTTAACAAAGTTTTTATATCCCAAGGTTATAAATTTCTTCTATTTTCTTCCAGATCTTTAATAGTTTTAGTCATTACATTTGGTTTTTGCACCACATGGAGTTAATGTTTTGTGTGTGAAAGATCTGAAATAGGAAATTTAATTGTTTTCTCAAAAGAGCAGCCATTTACTGAACACTGTCCTTTCCCAGTTGTGCTTAAGTCCTTCCTATATCACACAATAAGTTGACAAGCACAGGGGTCTATTTCTGGTCTATTTATTTGAAGCCACTGATCTACTACTGTCCAGACCTGTATTAAAATAGTTCCATCACATCTTTAACATTAGTAGAGCTTTACAGATTTTTGGTCTATGTTAGGGCAGGCCCACCATTTTTCTTCTTTGTCAAAAATGTTTTGTCCAATTCTTACAACTTTTTCCTTCCACTGTTTAATTTTTTTTCACTGTTTAATTGTTTAAATGCTCTTAATACTTGTTTTCACTTTTAAATGAATCACCTTTGTCAAGTTCTGGGTAAAATCCTACTGGAATTACACTAGATTTATAAATTTATTTGTGGGTATCTAAAATCTTTACAACACTGAGTTCAGGAATGATGTATATCTCTTTATTATTTCAAAAATTTTTAATGTCCTTCAATAACATTTTGTAGTTTCTTTCATATTATTAGTCTTGTACATTTCTTTTTATAGACTCAAGGATCTTAGAGTTTGGATTATTGTTTATATGTTATACTTACTATAACTTGCTTTCCCAATCAGAATTATAGTATGTCTTCATTTATTTATATTTATTTTTCTAATAATGTTCATTATAAATTATTTTCATCATGATGGGATCCCTCCTTTTCCCCCATTATATTCTCTAATTTTATATGATTTATGTAATAGAATACAATGGGTTTTGAAGCTTATCTTCTATCTTGCACATCTGCTGGACTCTCACCACCTCTAGAAACTAGTGGTTTATCTTCTTGAAGTTTTGCTCATTTTCAATTTTATCATTTGTGGAAAACAGCATTTATACTATTCCTCCATTTTTCCTGTACTCCAAATGTACTGCAAGGAATTCTAGCAAATATATAAAAAAGGACCACTGATGAAGGGCATCCTTGTCTTTTTCTATTATTTCCAGTGAAAAGGCTCTTGTTCTTCTCCATGAGATATGTGAACTCTTGGAGATTGATAAAGGTATAATATGTGTATATTCATTTATTTACTTATTATGTTAAAAATTTCCCTGCCAATTTTTAGAATTTTAATTAAGAGAGGGTGTTGAATTTTGAGTGTCTTAGTTTCTGTTCAACATCTATTTGGATAACCACATAATGTTCCCATTTTTTCTTGTCAATGGGACAAATTATATTGTTTGTTATACTATCTTACATGATTGGGATAAAACCACTTGTTCATGTAAATGTTAAACTTTTATTTAATTTTAATTAATTTAAATTTAATAGCCACATAAGAGACTAGTCTAAGCTTAGAACTATAGAAGTTTAAGATTTACTCACTTCAGGGACCAGCTGAAAGCCTCAGTTGGTTAAGAGATTGCTCAAGAGTGTCGCCGGAGAGCAACAGGGTCGCCGGTTCAATTCCTACATGGGCCAATGAGCTGCGCTGGAGCTGAGCTGCCAACAGGTGGCAGGATGGCTCAGCTGGTGAGAGCACATGATCCTAATAAAATTGCCTTTTTGAGATGGTGGGCTATGCCCACCAGCAACTAAAGACTGAACTCGGCACCCTGAGCTGAGCTGCCACCCCAGTGGCCCAGGAATAGAACCATGCGCTCTTAGCAACAAAGCTGCTGGTTCGACTCCCGCATGGGATGTTGGCTACGCCCACCCACAACTAAGACTGTAACACAGCACCTTGAGCTGAGCTGAGTGACTGGACTTGGAGCTGAGCTTGCTGCGCCCTCCACAACTAAGATTGAAGGACAACAACTTGGCTGTTCCCCTTCCCTAACACTGTTCCCCTCCTCCAATACCCCAATAAAATCGTAAAAAAAAAAAAGATTTACTTAGCACATTAGTAAAGAGTGTGATGTCAGTTTGATCCCAATTTTAGATTATTTTAAAATGTATGTATGAACAGAATACATCTGAAAGGATATATACCAAATTATACCAAATATTCATAATATGTATCTCTGGGAAAAAAAATTACAGTTGGTTGCATTCTTTTTCCTTTTCTGTATCTTTATCTTCTATATTCTCTAACATAAAGTAGACAATTTGCTCTAAAAAAAACTAAACTACTTGTCCAGGATCAAAATCTTTTAACATCTGATCACTCTGTTCACTAAGCTTTTTCTTTAGATGTTTGATTCCTATTTTTATATGTGGGACTAATTTACAGCATTTAATGTACTCTCTAGCGGATTTTGGAATTAAATAATTTTTTCATATACTTGTAAATGAGCTGTGTAGCATCTCATCAATTTTGTTTTGAAACAAAGATGACAATTGCTACCTCTCAAGCAAGTGAATAGCTGAACTGGCACTTTTGAAATCTAAACTTCCTGTTGCCATTCCAATCACAGATAATAAATAACTGTTATGAAAGTACCAAGAAGTAAGATGTATGAAAATGAAAGATTACTCAGGAAAAGTGCTTACTTTTGAAAAATTTGGATTGAATGTCTAGTAAATTCACCAGGACTAGGTTACTGTTTCTCTGTCTCTAAAGCATGACATGAAAGGTGATTTTTCCAGGGATCATATTTAACCTGAATTCTGAAGTGTAGTGACTAAGAATAGCTAATATTGAATACGTGCTGGTATATAGTGTAGAGGTTAAAAATACAGGCTTTTGGAAGCCTGCCACTTGTGTTCAAGTCTGAGCTGTGCAGCTCAGGGGCTGAACAACCCCTGGCAACTTACTCCATTTATCTTTGTCTCAATTACCTCATCTACAAAATGGCAACGACTGAAGTATCAAAGGTTGCTGTGAAGATTGTTAAATGGGTTAATGCATGCAAAGCACTTACAGCTGTGTATAACATACAGCTTAGCACTCAAGAAACGTTAACCATTCATATTACCACTATGTACTGCACGCAACGAGCTTTGCAGTATAGTGCTTCCTTTATCTTACATCCTGTATCTTTATCACAACCACAATGTAAGACAGGTATTTTCCCGCTTTTAAAGAATGAGGGGACTAAGGTTCAGTAGTTCCCTTACTTACTCATGGTCACACAGTTAATTGATGGCTGAGCTGGGATTTGAACCCAGGAATGACTGAGCCAGCAGTTATGCCCTACTACTTTGCTTTTAAAAATCTATTCAACAAATGTCACAGTCGAGTCTAAATGCAAAATAAAGTTTACCAAAGAGAAAAAAACATGCCAAAGACTCACCGAGAAATAAAACACAGAAAAAACTTTTGAGGAAAGTAATTAAACTGCAAGTAGAAGCTTTAATTATATGCAGTTACGTACCATGTAATAGCCTGGCAGTAGCTTCTGAAGGAACTCTGCTTCTTTATGCTGAACTGTTTTGATGATAAATTCATCATCACTGGTAACAAAAAACAAGGATCCACTGGCTCCGGGGTTGGACAGCTCTATGAGAGGCTCACTGCAGATGGAATACTACAGGAGTAAATAAATAAACATTAAAAAATATATTTAGGCTAGAATCACTGACTAAAGCCAATTAGATCTTCAAAAAATATATATATTTAATGTACATGATGCTTCCAAGGAGGAAAACCACAGCATTATATATGTTGGCCATTTTGAAATAGGGAGCGCTCTCCATGAGCTTTAAAAAGAGTATACGAAGAAGGCTCTTGGTCAGATTTCTAAAACTTTAATTGATCCATTCATCTTAGTAATTCTATAATGGGAATCAGACATGCCCTCCCCACCCCCAGTATGATATGATAGAATCATAAATCATATCTCTTCAATGAGATAACTCAATCAGTAGTGCTGACTAAGGTGCTTTGTTTCCAGCAAGTGCCCATAAAATAACTAAAAGTATGATCCCACTGTGTATTTGTCACTTGAACACCATTCTCTTCTCACTATTTTCCCAAGGGATGTCACGCACTCATGGTTTCAACAAGGAGATGACTCGAACATCTGTATGTCCAGCCCAGATCTCTCTCTAGGGCTCCACATCTGTATACTTAACTTTTAAATAGGCATTTCTACTTGGTTATACCACAAACAGTTCACATGTAACAAGTTCAAGATCAAATTTGTCTCTGGGCTGTGGGTAGCCCATATGGTGCCTTAGTGGTAATTAAAA